CCAGTGACACTGGCCTCCTGGCTGTTGTATGAACACCATCTCTTGATCCTGAGCATTCTGTCTGACTGTCCCCCATGCCTGAAATACTGTCCCTGCTCCTCTCTGGCTTCCTTTAAGTCCTAACTAAAATTCCACATTCTACAAAATGTCTTCCCCAAACCTCTTAATTCTAATGCCTTCCCTCTATTAATTATTTCTTATTTATTTTGTAAAAAGCTTATTTTGTACATCTTTCTTTGCATGATGTTTGCTCCACTGGATCATAAACTCCTCAAGAGCAGGGGCAGTCTTTTTTCTCTTTTTGTATCTCCAGCACTTAGCACAGTCCCTGGCACATAGTAGGAGCTTAATAAAAGTTAATTGACTGATTAGAACAGTAATGCTTTAGGAAGAAATAGGAAAGTTTGTGAGAAGGGTAAATTTTTGGGGAAAGAGAAATTCTGATTTAGACTTGATTGAATTTAAGATATCTTTGGAAAACCCAATTTGAAATGTTTGATACAAAGATGATGATGTGTTATTAATTCTCAGATTCAAGGCTGGTGCTGGTCTACGAGTCATCTACATAAACATGATGGTTCAGCCTCTGGGAGCTGATGAGGTCACCAAAAAGAAGAATGTAGAGATAGAAGAGCAAGGGACCTAGCAAAGAATCTTGGGGCTTACATCATTTAGAGGACATAATGTGGAGGATGAATTAGGAAAGGAGACCATGAAGAAGTAGGTAGAGTAGGAGGAAAACTGAGAGAGAAAGTACTAGTATAAAAGGCCAGAGAGGAGAAAATATTTAGCAGGAGGTGATGTTTATCCTTATCAGATGAAGTACATGAGTTAAGAAGGCTGATGAGGAATGAAAAAAAATCCATAAAAACAAAAAAAAAACAAAAAAAAACTTTGGCAAATCAGAGATCAGTGAAAATTTTGGAGAGAGAAATATCAATCAAGTGATTACTAGCTTAATTTTTGACAGATTTCCAGGTTCCCAGAAATACTTCTGGGAAATATCCAGCCAGCTTGGCCCAAATGCTTAGTGCAAATATAGATATGCCTCTGTTTCTACCAGTGTATATTGCATTCAACAAACAGCATTAAGCATCCACTGCATGAAAAGCATCATGCTAAGCAAGGTGGGAATAGAAAAAGGAATAAAAACAGAAGTTCTACCCTAAAAGAATTTATGATGTGTATAGAAGTTTATATGTGCATAGATATCATTAATACAAAACATAACAGGATAGATACACAAGACAAGTAGAAGAGACTATGAGAGTTCAAGATAGAAAAATATCAGTTTCTGCTGGGGGACAGGTAGAGAGGACAGCTAGAAGGTGTTAATGGAAAAAAAGACATTTAAGCTTCACCTTGAAGGAATAATAGATTTCTACAGCCTGAGATGTAGACAAGAATATTAGCAAATGAAATGCATGGAAGAAGGAAAGGATAAGATGTTTTGGGAAACAGTGATAGTCCTGGAGCAGAAAGTACATGAGTAGGAGTCATAGGAAGTAAGTCTAAATGGACTAGATTGTAGAAATACAAACTAAGGAGTTTAGACTCATTGTATTACACACAGAATAATTCCTTTGCAACAGGCTGTCAGAAAGGTATTTCCCAAATCACATCTGCTGTGTTTTCTATTTCCTGTGCCAATAAACCCACTTTCTGCCTCTTGCCTCACTGTCAATACTACACATTGTTACTGCATGTAGCCTGACTCGTGTATTCCTCTATTTGTGTTTGGAGAATTTTATTCATCTTTAGTTAAAATTCATGGCTGAGGAATAAACTTACATTCAAATTTATTGTTCATGTGATTTATCATTACAACCAAACAGTTCATTCATTTGTTCACACTTTTACTCAATTATATCAGGACTTACTATGTGCAAAGCTTCCACTAAAGCTCTTCTCTAAGGTCAGGTGACTTTGAAGCCTATGCTGGTGACCATAAGCTCTGGTAGGTCCTACCATGCTGTACAAGGTTTAAGTATTGACTCACTGACGAATTTCATCATGCTAGCACCAGTCCAACTAAGATTAGAGAGTCTCACCACCAGAATTTTAGCCATGAAGAGATGATTCTTTTTTTCCTTGCTATAGCAACTTACAAAATGATCAACTAAAGTGTGGAAGGGTTCTAAACCTGATAAAAATCACTCCTATATTGAATTATGGGCAAAACATTGTAGTTTATTCCATAGGTCATGCCCAACTGACTCTAGTGAAGTAGACTAGGTTCAAGAAAAGTAAGGCAAAAAATCAACTATCAGAGTCTGGCAATCTCAGGCAGATTCCAGGGTTCCAGTGGGAGGAGAATGAGAGTAATAGCTGTAGGGTAGATGGCATGATGTAGAAGTGGCTAGGAAGATACATGTCAACAAATCAATCAACAAATATTTGTCAAGCTCTTTCTTACTATGTTTCAGGCACTATGCTAAATGAGATGCAAAGAAAATATATTAAAACAGTATATACAAGATGCATATAGAGCAGGTCAATCCATCTATCAACATTTATTAAGCACCTAATATGTGCCAGGCACTGTGCTAAGTGCCGAAGATATAAAAAAAAAAAGTTAAAATATAGTCCCTGTCCACAGGGAGCTTACAACCTAATAGAGGTGATAACATGCAAATGGTTAGTCTGTATCCTGTGCTCATAATCTGTAGGTAGGCCATACTCTGTACTCACCAACAGCATGGTGAGATATCTTTTTCAGATTTTCATACTATAAAGATGTGTACCAAAGTGTTATAGTAGAAACAGTATTGGGCTTAAAGACATGAGAGCTAAGATTAGGTTCCAGTTCTGCCACTTACTAGACATGGAGGGCAGCTAGAATTGTAAAAAGCTCTTTGATCTTTGTCAAATAGTTCAGGACCTTGGGAACATTATTTAGTTCAATGGAGAGAAAATTGTGACAGGGGAAGACAATAACCATCTATCAGTATTTGAAGGACTGTCAAGTTGAAGAGGGGAGGAAGGAAGAAAATGAGGAATTGTCAAGTGCCTACAAAGTGCCAGGCACTGTGCTAAGCACTTCACAAATGTTATATCATTTGATATAACAAACCTGGGAGGTAGGTGCTATTATTATCCCTGTTGTTGTTGTTGTTGTTGTTTTTTCATTTGAGAAATTAAGGCACAAAAAGATTAGATGATTTCACCAAGATCTTGTAACTAGTGAGTGCCATAGGTTGGATTTGAACTCAGGTCTTCCTGATTTCAGGCCCAGAGTTCTATCCACTGAACCAACCCTTTGTTTTGTTTAAACTTCAAAAGGAAGAATCAGGAGCATGACTCCAAATCCAAGAACCTTTTAACTACCCCACAATAGCTGAAATATGATGTTCCTTGGTAGACCTCAGTTACATTTTGTTTCACAATCAGACTCCCAGGCAAGTGCTGGATACACCATGTTCTATTTTTTCTAATAGTTTTTAGCTAGAGAAAAAGGTAAATATTGACAAAGGGAAATCCTCTAGTCCTGGACATTTTTTCCCTTAAGATTCTCGCAGTTAGTCTCTTTGACATTAATACTTTCTCAAGCAGGTCATGATTAGAGATTAAAATGGAGCTAGAGGGCCTGAGAAATTCATGGTTCCAGATGCTGCTGAAGACCATTTGCTTTGGAACATGTATCTTCATGGGCAATACTCCCAGGCCACTCCCTTCTGATTTGTTCTAATCCCATCAGAATTATTTGGGAGGCTTCAAAGGCACTAGTATTCATCAAACAAAAATGTTAATCCATCCTCTCACTTCTTTCCCCAAGCCCCATATCAGCTGAAGTTCATGTGAGTTCATCATTTTGGATGAGCTGCGAGATGACATCAATTTCCTGGCAGGGATATTCTAATAGTATGTTTATATTGAGGCTTAATATTTGCTAAGTGGCTGCAATGTAGTGTAGTGGGAGAGTATCTGCAGTCTATTGCATAGTGAAGTGTTTTGTGATGTTTGGAACATTCTCCAGATATTAGGATAAGAAACAAAAGGAATTATGAACAAGGTAGTTTGAATACCAAATATATAGGTGGGAATGTAGAAGTTAATTACTGGTTTGTGTTGGTAATAGATGATCTGAAATGTCAGGTAGCATGCTGCAGTGAATGAGTCAGGAGATCAGTGGGTTATTCTTTCCTACCCCAGAAGTTTCCAAACAATCAGCAATCTTCACCCTTCTAAGTCTTGTTTTCTTATTTATAGACAGCTAGGTGGTTCAGTGGATCTGGAGTGAAGAAGACCTGAATTCAAATCTAGCCTCTAACACTTACTAACTATATGATTATGGGCAAGCCACTTAACCTCTACATTCTTCAGTTTCTTCACTTATAAAATGGGGATGATAATAATACCTCCTAGCGTTGTTTTTATGATCAAATGAGATATTTGTAAAACAATTCTTATAAGGCCTGTCACATAATAGGTACTCAATGAATACTTGTTTCCTTCCTAATGTATAAAAATAAATAAAGAAATACATAAACAAACACATATATAAATAAATTATCCTTATGGTGATCTATCTCATATGGCTATTGTGAGGAAAAATATTTTCTACATTTTAGAATGTTGCAAACATTTGAGTTACTATTTTATTGTTCACTTATCTTCTCTGTGCCTCAATTATTCAATCCATAAAATGCAGATAATAAAAAGTCATCTTTCTTAAGGCAGAGAGATGGACAAGATTTTCTTCTTGAAGGGGGAAGCCCCTTCAACCCTAAATTTTATCATTTTGTATATTATTACAGGCAGGAATTAGAGGAAATTTGTGATTTATATGATGATAAAAAAACAAACAGAAGTAAATAAATTATCATGTATGACTTTTATACAGAACCTAAATGTTTGTGAAGATACATTATCCAATTTTATCTCCACAACTCTATGAGCTAGGTGCCACGATTACTCCCATTTTATACATTAAGAAACTGAAAGTAAAGTCACATGACCATGTTGCAGTACATCCCTGTATCCATTGTGCCATGCTACCTCTCTCAACTTGTGATGTTATGACTTCCCATTTGCTCCTTTTTCGGTTGGTGAAATTTACCTTGGCACTTTGGCAATTCACCTGTATCCTAGAACAGCCTTTTTTTTTTTTTTCCTGAGAACAAAATGCCTGTTTTATTCCCAGCTTGTTTGCCCTTAACAAGGACAACCCCCCTCCCACCAGTGTGTCTGGCTACTCACACGACCTGCAAGCTCCCCTAGTGGCCGTCCAACTGGACTTTCAGTTTGTGAAGCTCCTCTATCTCCCGATTGTGACGCTCTGTTTTGTGTCGGACCAAGGAACGATAGAAGTGAATGGTGAACACGACAAAGATGAGCCCCACGGGCACCAGGATGATAGTGGACACCAGGGTGGCCTGCGTTGGCCCTGGCTTGGAGTTGGGCCCTTCTTTCGCGCTCGAGTCCACAGGGAGGCATTTGATCCAGCACAGGAGCACTACCTCTGCCAGGAAGAGGAGGATCCCCGGAACGGTGGAGAAGCCCCAGGCCAACTCGATGTAGGGGTGCATGCGTTCATGGGGGGATTCACTGACGGAGTTCAAATTGTGAATGTTGCTCACGGCTTCCACATTGGGCCGGATGCAGGTGCTGATGCGGAGGGCAAAGAGGTGGACCGGCTCCAGCGCTCTGGTGCAGGCGCTGAAGGCGATCAGGAGCATCTGGGGACACTGGTACTGCATCTCCAGCTGCACCTCCACCATGGCCGTCTGGTTCGGAGCAAGCTGGCGAGGAAGGGTCCACAGGGACATTGGACTCTGCACCCATGATGGAAGCAAAGCGAGCGGCCGCCCCGCCCTTGACTCCAGCTCTCTGTAGGCGGAGGCGGCGGCCGGGGCAGGTCTCTGCTAGAACGGTCTTAAAGACCATTCTTTCTCCATAATATGCACAGGCTTCCTCACACTGAGCTGCCTCCATCAGACGCAACCCTGATTGGAAAGCTATATTACTGGGTTGCAAAAAAAAGAGCTTTTTTTTTTTTATTGGAGGCGTGTAGTAGGAGGCAACTGGATTGAAGGAATCAGGACCCTCTGCACCATTCTTTGGGGACAATAACATAGCTCTTGCTTGGACAATATGACTCTGGATTTGGGAATTGAATGTTTGAGTTAAGAGTCAGGAAGACTAGATTCAAATTATACGTAAGAAACTCATTATCTTTTTAACCCTGGAGCAAGTCACTTCTTTTCTCTGGTCTTCAGTTTCTCCATCTGCGATATAGTGATATTAATAGCTCCAACCTCCTAGGATTTCTATGAGGATCAAATGTTTTGCAAAGTGTTTTGCCAGCCCTAAAGTGAAATGTAGGCATCATCATCATTGTCGTCATTACTAATACTAGCATTTAGGTAAAGCTTTAAGGTTTGCAATGTACTTTATAAATATTTTCTCATTTACCCTTGTTATTTCCATTTTACAGATGAGGAAATTGGGGCATAGAAAGGGTAAGTGACTTTCCCAGGATCACACAACTAGTAAAGGTCTGAGACTCGATTTGAACTCAAGTCTTCCTGACTCCAAGTCCAGCTCTTTATTCATTGTGCTTTTGTTGTTGTTTTATTGTTATACTCTCATCATAAATAATTTTGGTCAGTTTCAATTTCAAGAAATATAGAGGCAATGATTCTCCTCTGATTCAATAATTCTAGTGGTTTGGACCATACACAATTGATCTCCCTGGGACTCTGGAATCTTCAGATTTTCCTTGCATTTTTTTTAATACCTCTCCTACTTGTTCACACTGTAATTGGTGTGGTTCAGTCAAGAGGCACAGGTTGAGTTTCTGTGTGGAGGGGATGCCTGGAGATGTGCTCCTCACTCTGCCTCTCCTCCCCCCGAAGAAAGGAACCTTAACCTCACTTGGAATTTCATTTGCCTAAGATTCAATAATGCACAGTGATTCTTTAGTCAAGATTGAATCTCAAAACCTGAAGCTTGTTCAACCTAGATGAGAAAGTTTTATCCTTTGAAAATGGATAAGACTTATATGACAAGTAATGTCTACAGCCTGGGAAGGTAGTACAATGGAGACAAAACACTTAACAGAGTCATTCTTGCATATAATTATAAATCTTTCCAAATTTTCCTGTTGGCTATGGGTTATAGGGATTAAATGCTAGCCAAACTCTGGCTTATTGGCCTCTGCCCTCGAATGTGCTTTGCCATAATTTGTATACTGGATCAAAGTTCATGGTCCAGTTTCAAATTAAGGATTAGTCTTAGCAAGGTGCTGCTCCAAAGTTCTATTTCCATAGTGAAACCCAATAATAATATTTGTATCATTTGAAACATAGATCCATGACTTGCAACATGACTCCCAATTACAAGTTTTTCTTGTCCAGGTATAGTTGTGATTTCCCCCTTCAAGCATATTTAAATAACAATAATGATTTAATTAAGTTAGTTGCATTGTTGTGACTTGCAGGCTCCACTCTGGCTTTGGGCCACTATGGAAAGCAGGAGGACCTGTCACAGAGAACTTGGGAAATAAGACTCCAAGATAAATACCTAGGCCTAGTGGGAATGTGGGAAGTGACATTTGGTTGAAGCAATCCTAAATTATGCTACATGGAGTATGTGACCAAGACAACAGATGTGGGGCCAAAGCAAGGACATGTTTACCCAGAAAATTCTAACAGGCATCATTTTCAGGAAAGAGCAGTTTTAATCAAATACATGTTTTCTCTCAAGAGGCCCCTTCTGTGAAGAATGTCAGCTCTGAAAGCATTCTATTTGTTTCTAAAGTAGAATTGCTCCTATTAAAAAAATTCATTTTTAGGGTAACAGGAGGTGCACTATCAAAATATGAGAAGAAAACAGGTATTGTAGCACTGAAAGGGACCTTAGAGACCATCAAGTCCCAACCTTTCATTTTACATAATAGGAAACTGAGGCTCAGGAAAGAGAAATAAATTGCTTAAGGAGATAAGTCATTTCAATCTAAATCCTTCAAATATAGTTCTACTCTTCTTTACAACACATTGCTTATCTCAGCTTAGAGCTTCCCCTTTAGGTAAACCATCTGCTGAGGACAGGATCAGATTAAGCCTTCGCCTTTCTGTTGGCCTTTAATAACACTATTCACCTTTCAAGACTCAGGCCAGCTTTATCTTTTCTCTAATGCTTTCTCTGACCATTGAAATCCACAGAGCAACATAGTATAATGGAAAGAAAGGATTTGGATGTAGAAAAGCCGAGTTTAAATCCTGGCTCTGCTCCTCACTACCTCCATGACTTTAGGCAAATCACTTTGTTCCATTCTTTTCAGCCTCACCTCACAGGGCTTTGTCTGGTTCATAAACTTAATAATTGTTGCTTGTTAACTGGGCCATAGTCTCTTCATGTGTAAAATGAAGTGGTTATATCTTTCAGTTTTACATCCTTTGATCTTCTGCATTTAGATACTTTGTGTACTGTATTATCACTATGAGAATTTGGTCATCGCAGTGTGATGGGAAGATTAAGAGCTTCAAGAGAAAAGCAGAGACCAAGGTCACAGGAAGTCCAGTAGCCAAGGTTAGGCAGTGAAATCTTGGAAAGGAAAGTCCATATGGTTACAAATAATTAAATAGCTGTCAGTAGGCCTTACCCAACCCCTATTACACTCTTTCATTTCTTGCCTTTTGTTTTCTTTTTCTTTTTTGGTGAGGCAGTTGAGGTTAAGTGACTTGCCCAGGGTCACACAGCTAGTGGTGAGACTAGATTTGAATTCACGTCCTCCTGACTCCATCCAGAGCTCTATCCACTGCGCTACCTAGCTGCCCCTTGCCTTTTGTTTTCACTCAGTTCAACACACACCAAACATAGGACATAGCTTGCCTATCCTCAGGGGAAATTCTTCCTGTTCAACTATCATTAACAGTATGTATCAGTCTGTGAGGAAGGCAGATATGTTCAGTATGTTCACATAAAGATTCCTCACATCTCTTCTTCCTAGTGTTCTCTCTTTCTGTGATAGCACTTCCCTTTTCCTTCTTATTAAAAAAAAAGATTTCTATACTTAGAAACAGAAAATCTGGATTAGAAGTCTGTCTCTCATGTTTACTAACTGCCTGACGATGGAACAAGTCAACTTCAGCCTCTCTGGGTCCTCTATAAGCTGAAGAGTGTTCATCTAGTAGCAAGTATGAAGCTCAAATGGAAACGGGGCCACTAAACCATACAGAAGGCACATGTTGATATAGACAACCACATGTTAACATTATCTATGTTGCATTTATTTTTCCTTATTTTGTGAAATATCTCCCAATTAGACTTAATCTGGTTAGGCAACTCTTGAGAGTGTTACAACCTAATCCATAGTCAGCTATGGCCTAGATGATCTTTAAGGTACTTTCTCACTCTAATTAGGAGGGGGAAGTCAATTTTATCAACACTAAAAGATAAAGGAAAACCGACTGTGAGTAGCTTACATGGAGAGGAAAATGAGAGAGATAAAGAAAGATAAAGCAAGAATATCTTCTGACCACTGAAGGAAGTACGTAAAAAGGTGAGTGATTATGGAACATACAGCAAGTTGACTGTCAGTAATTAGAAACCAAAGAAATATGGAGTACAGGCAGAGAGACCATCAGGACAGGTCAATTTGCATCCCCTAAGACATGTTTTAAAATTATGCCCCACACTATGCATTATAATGAAGGGTCAAAGTTTTCACTGGAAAGAAACACACATAATTCATTGGACCCTGAATCGAACTCTGCATGCCATGGAGAATGAGATTTTTAAATATTAAACAATATTATATGTGTAGAGAGTCATACTTAAAAGTTTACTCAGTGAATCATACCACATTTTATTTTCTAAACATTTGCCTGCCCCTCATCCCTCAATCCACAAAGTAGAAAAGTGACTAGCAAAGGTAGATAGGATACTGACTGTGAAGAGAGAAACTGAGGGACTATGAAGTAGAACTTTTACTTCCAAACTGGGTTCACTTTTCTGATTGAACTTTCAACCAAGAGTGCATGTGCACAGAATCAGAAAAACACAATCTTTTATGAATGTTTCTTGGTCACAAGAGGCATGAAGGAATACAAAATATTCTCTTGTAAAAACAGCTGACAGTCTCCATGCCTATTTTGGGATAAATAGGAGGCTCTGCTTATCTTTTGTCCTTATGAGGCCCAGTCATGATCATAAATATGGGCTTCTTAGATATTATTCTGGGGACTCTTCACACCTCTCAGTGGGGAAACTCTGTACATTGCTAAACTATCTTCTATCGACACCAATTTTGTGCTGCAAATCTCCTTAAAAGAAATGTGCCATAAGAACAATGATTATGAAGAATAGTGGGAGGCACAGGAAGATTTGTATGAACAAATGAAAAATGACTCAGAATAAACAAGGAAAAATACAATAATCACAAAAATATAAATAACAATAATAATATTTACATAGCACATTAAAGTTTGCAGATATATATGTGTGTATGTATATAACATATACATGCATATACACATATGTGTATGTACATACACATATATACATACATATACACAAATATGTATACACACACACACACACACACATATAGGTAATAGATGAAGAAAGTGAATCTGAGAAATACTGAGCAATTTTCCCAGGGTCACATAGTTTGTAAGTCTCTGAAACTTCATTTGAACGCAGATCTTTTTGACTCCACATTTACTACGCAAACTTGCTGCCAATGTAATGGAAACAACTAAACAAGCTAAGCAACTAAAAAAATCAGAATTATAAACTAGCTGGTTATCACGACCATGTCTGATGCCAAAGAAGAAGTATATTGCTGCAGCATATGTACTTTCCCTTGAAGAGGCTGTACTATGGGTTTGTCAT